CATACCATAGGCCAGAAAACAAATCATAATACCAGCCAAAACCAAGCCTGAAAAGTTTGTTGAAAGAGACATATCAGAGACCAAGTCAAACAAACATGATCACACCATTTAGCGACAAACCTTAACACAATCAGCTTGAAAAGGTTACTTCACTGGACTACTACTTCCAGAATAAGTTGCAGTCAAAAAGAAAGAAAGAAAGAAAGAAAGAAAGAAAGAAAGAAAGAAAGAAAGAAAGAAAGAAAGAAAGAAAGAAACTTTCAAAGTGCCTTTTTTGGACTGCAAAACATCATATGTACAGTGGTGCCTCGCTTAACGAGCGCTTCATTTTACGATGAAATCGCTTAACGACACTTTTTGGAGCGTTTTTGCGCTCCGTTTAGCGATGGCCCCTATGGGCGATTTTCGCCTAGCAATTTCGGGACCATGCTTCGCATAGCAATTACATTTTGGGTCCCCCTGTTTCGCTTAACGATGGTTTAAACAGCCCGGGGGTCGTGCTTCACTTGAATGGCATTTTAATGGTCGCTGCTTCCAGGATGTTTTTCCCTGATGCTATTTTCTTTCAAATTTAAACAGTCAATATCCAGGATGCATTGGTGTTTTTCCATGTTGCAATTTTCTTTCAAATTTAAAGTGTCAATACCTAGGATTCATCGTGCCTTCTGCAGGGAAGGTTTAAAAACCCTTTCCCATGCAGCGTGGCTTTACTTTTGCACGTGGAGTTCCAGGGCTGACTTCGTTTGGAGCAACTTTGGTTTCTTCTGGAGAACTTGGCTAGCAGAAGGTAAGTTTACATTTGTTCTCTTGTGTGGCTGGTGAGTTTTATTACATAGGTTTTACAGGTATTTTTATTTTCTTATTTTTGGTTAAATTGCGGGGGGAGGTTGTGCATGCCTTTTAAAAGTTTAAATTTTTTTACTGTACTGTGTTTTTATTTTCTTATTTTTTGTTAAATTGCAGGGGGGGTTGTGCATGCCTTTTAAAAGTTGGGATTTAAAGTTTAAAACTGCCTTTAAAATTTTTTTTCCTTGAATTGTTTTCCTTGGGTGTGAGAGAATTCTGCAGAAGTCTCATTCTTATTTGGGGGGGGGCGAAACTGCAGGGGGCTTTTGGGGTGGCTAGAGTCCTTGGGTGTGAGAGAGTTCTGCAGAAGTCTCATTCTTATTTGGGGGGGGACTGCAGGGTGCTTTTGGGGTGGCTAGAGTCTTGCATTGGGATTTAAAGTTTAAAACTGCCTTTTAAAAAAAATTTCCTGGGAGAATTTGGATCTGCTATTGCATTGGTTCTGTGTGGGAGAAAAGTGCAGAAATGTGATTTAAAATTTTGGGTACCCTGCAGGGGAAACATAGGGAATACAGTAGCTTCTGTTGTGGGTGTTTGAATGCAAAAGTCTGATGCCAAGTTTAACTGTACGCATCCTTTCTGTTGTGTAGTGTGGCCTTCAGTGGATGGACTTTTCCAGAACATCTGGGACAGCAAAAGGTAGGCCTACATTTCTTCTCCTGTGTTGGGGGGGGGAGGTAATGCCAAGTTTTATTTTAGGCATTATCTTTTTGGTGAGGTTGGTGTGGTGTGGTCTTCAGTGATGTTGGCGTTTTCCATAACTTTTTGGAGAGCAAAAGGTAGGTAGGTCTGCATTTGTCCTTTTTTGGTGGGGGGGGGGGGAGGTTAGGCCAAGTTTAATTT